TATCAATTACAGAATTATACATTATGGGGGTTGAACAAAGACTGACTGCACGCGGCTTCGCGTATATTAATTAACATTGAGTAGTGGGGTGACGTTCTAGCTCCACTCTTAAACGATTTCCGTACTATTAGCGATTATCGCCTAATTTATAATCAGATTTTTAGATGTTATCTGCCAACGATATTAGCATCAGGTGGTAAATTGGTTTTTAGCTAATGTGAGCCAACTGGCCACGTTGCAGGACTTATTTTAGCTAAAAATTATTCTGAACTTATTACACTTATACTACATTTTACGAGAAGTGTGCTCCGAATCTAGCACCTTCTTCTACAAAACACACACAAAAGTTCCCCAGTTCTGGAAAGGTGCTTTTGTCTAGTAGTTTCTTTAGCTGGAGAAACTTTTGTTACGTCCTGTGTTGTATCTATTAAGGTAGTTATTTTGTTTACTTTACTAGTTTATCAATGATTTTTCAAAAACTATGAGATAGGGAATTCCAGAATTTTGTAGGCTAATTATACATGTATTAATCTAAGTTATATCAGTTTTTCATGAAATTCTTAACATTTCTTCTATACAAAAATAATAAAACTTCGCGGTTCGCTCTCTCTTTTCCCATACCACCTGTGTAAAAATGTCATTATCAATTGCAATTATCTTCGGTTAGACGTTGTAAATCGTCTCTAAATTTTAACAGCGTGTGTATTATGTATTTAAATACTTATATACGGAGTTTGGGAGATTTCTTGAATTTTTGCTTTTTGGGCCCAACTACCTTAACTGAAATGATTTTATTTTAGTTTTATTATTCTATTAAGTGAAACTTTTATTACATCGTCTCAAACTTTTTCGTCTGTGTGTTGTATGACGCCTGACGGTCGGCCACAGAGTAGGGATAAAGTGAAAGGCGCTCCTTAGAGCAGCCAAGGCCAATATGGCAGCGCCCATAGCTCACATCAGCTAACCGTGTAGCATTTATATTCAAATGCAATATAAAACGTTGTTTACTCCCTAGAAAAACAAAAGGATCAAAAATGATTCTTCATGTACTGAACTTTCATAAGAGATAGAATTTGAAAAAATTTGAAATATTAATACTTTAAAAACTTTTTAATTCTTTTGTTTAATCAGAACTTATTTTTGTTACTATGAAAGATTAGTTATATTTATAAACTACGAGACTCATGGCAAAAATAAAGTTATTGATAGAATAATTAAATTGGATGGTAGATTTCGATGTAATTTATAGTTAAAAAAATTATACCAAACAATAAATTCTTAAATTATCAGCGAAAAATCTCAATTAATTATTTATCAATGAAACCACCGTTAGTTCTATTACACGGGCTAATGTAACCCGTCTACCAAAAACTGGCAGTAATTGAAATTCTTATAATCTTAATAAAATCATCATTCGGTAAATGTTTGATAGATCAAATTAACGACGCAATTTTATCAACCGCAATATAAGTTTTAAAGACGTCTGTAAAGCTAGAAAGGTCATGTCGGCAGAATCACTCGTTTGATATCTCAAAATTTAGTGCTCATTTAGTGCTGATAAGAGATATTTGGTGCTGTGATAGGAGGACTAAAAATGAGAACACAGCGAACTTTTAGTTAAGCTAGCAGTGTACCATTCGTTACCGCGCTATGATACAGTTGGAGCGAGAACATATCAGCTAATAATTTAGTGCTCAATTAGTGCTGCCTGTAGAAGCGAACAGATTTTTTGAAAAAAAGTTTTTTCAGTTTTTAAATATAACGGCTGACAAAACGACACGAGCTATCATAGAGCTGAAAGATGACTTTAAAATCGGTATTGGTGAAATTGAAAAGAGTTACAAATTAGTGCTCACTAAATGCTACCGGTAAACACAGAAGAATTTTTGAAAAAATCATTTTTCAACTGCCTGCTAAGAAAATCAAAGATTTTCAGAAAACAAAAAGTTATGGGTATTATTCTGTTTTGCAAATATCGAGTTTTTATCAGATCTCAACGTTATAAGGTCACAGGAAATTACCCTGACTTCCCTCAAGATGTAGTCGCTGTGTGTGTGTGTGTGTGTGTGTGTGTGTGTGTGTGTGTGTGTGTGTGTGTGTGTGTGTGTGTGATAAAAAAAATTTTTTTTTATTTTTTTTCAAAGCAACTACTACTAGTATAACGACTCCAGCAGTCTTAATGGCAAGAAGACTCGAAAACGGAAACTCATGGAATTGAAAGACGTCACCATTTAGTGCTCAATTAGTGCTGCCAATATAGCAAAGGATTTTTGAAAAATAAATTTTTTTTTATTTTTTTTCAAAGCAACTACTGCTAGTAAAACGACTCCAGCAGTCTCAATGGCAAGAAGACTCGAAAACAGAAACTCACGGAATTGAAAGACGTAACCATTGAGTGCTCAATTAGTGCTGCCAATATAGCAAAGGATTTTTGAAAAATAAATTTTTTTTTATTTTTTTTCGAATCAACTACTGCTAGTATAACGACGCTAGCATTCTAAAGAGCGGGAAGAAGACTCTAAAGCGGAAACTAATGGAATCGAACGAAGTCACATTTTAGTCCTCAATTAGTGCTGCCAGTATAGCAAAGGCTATTTAAAAAAAAAATTTTTTTTATTTTTTTTCATATCAACTACTGCTAATTTAACGACGCCAGCAGTCTTGAGAGCTAGGAAGAGACTCTGAAACGGGAACTAATGGAATTGAAAGACGTCACTATTTAGTGCTGAATTAGTGCCGTCGTGGTAGTGAAGGAGTTTTGAACAATAAATTTTTTTAAGTTATACTTCTTTTGGCGCGTTTGGATGAGAGTGAAATTTGTGAGCTGCGCGCGCATGATGTCCTAAAAAAGTGACATGATGAAGTTGGCCACAAATATAATTAAAAATATAGAATTCTTTTACTGACTAAGTTAACTCATATACAAGCTAGTCGCAAAGTATCCAACGAAACGTTGTTATTTTTAAATTCGATAGAAATGCCAATTAATATAAAATAAATTAATCATATTGATAATCAATTCTAAAAAATGGTCAATTAAATATTTTATTTGATTGTTTAGTTTTAATTCAACTTGGTAATAATTACTTTTCAATTTATATTTTTTTAAAATAATGATAATTTCATGAAATAAAATATTTAAACTAAAATATAAATATTTTAGTATTTATTATATTTAGGTATCTTTTTATTAATTTCATAATTTTTTAATATAGACTTGAGGTAGTACCTCCACGAAAAGCATATTTCATACTAACTTTACCATTTCTCTATACCTCTACGTGTAAAAGATGCAATTTCGAAAATTAATTACTCTAAAACGGTGCGGTGAATTGATCTGAAATTTTGATGGTGACTTATTTTATTTATTTATTCATGATAAATGCCAAGGCACAGGCCGAAAGGAAAGGTATTTAAATTACATTTGAAATATTATTATTATTATTATTATTATTATTATTATTATTATTATTATTATTGTTATGTTATTAAATGCTCAGGGGGGTTGTCCCCGGAGTCCGACTCTCCGAGGGCCCAGCCTGAGCTCCATCCATTACTGCTGGACCACTCCGCACAACAATGCGGTTAGTGATCACAGCAGGCCAAAGTCATTTTCCTAAGTAGACGGAGGGAACCTAGTATCACAGCCTTTTGCATCCTGACTGCCAAGAACTCAGCTTTTGATGAGCAAGCTGGAACTCTGGCAAGTGAGGATACAAAAGACTGTTTCATCCCTCCAAGGACGCCAACAATCAGGACGACAAGCTTGACACGGTAACCTAGTGGTGAAGTTTGCCAATTTCAAACAGGAGATCCTGATATATTTGTCTTTTGTGCTCTTCTTTGGCTGAGATGTTGTATTCAGCCGGGGCCGAAAACTCTATGACATAAATGTCACGAGTAGCCTTGTCGAAGAGCACAATATCAGGTTTGTTGTGATCTATCCGCCGGGTTGTTGCAAATGGCATGTTCCAATAGATTTTGCAACTGTCATTCTCAAAAACCTGGGGAATATCTCCTGGCAGATAAGGCAGCACTGGTGTCACGTCAATACCGTAGCAATGACGAAGATAATAGTACAGTTCTCTCAGGGCAGCATTATGACGCTGGATATATGCCCCTCTTGCCAGCACTGGACATGCTGACAAAAGGTGCATAAGCGTCTCCGGATGTTGTTCACACGCCCTGCAGGACGTGTCCGGAAGCTGCACCTGGAGCACCTTGCTACGGTACTCTAGAGTGTTAATGACACCATCTTGGCAGGCAAATATGAACCCTTCAGTCTCGGACATCAGGCCAGCTGACTTTCAGAAGGAAAACGTCAGCTGGGTCGACAAGCCATGATCACGCACGTGTTTGAAGAACACGCTGTGCATGGACTTGTCCATTAGTTCGCCAAGGAGTAGTTTTTCCTCGGTGTTCCTGATGACGCTCTTGAATTCCTCCTTTCGAAGTTCCATAAGAGCGTTTATTTCTCCAAGACCAAGGGTTCTTGCCGCATATATTGCTGCCTTATACAAGAACGACCCCTTATGCGCATTTGTAGCTATTATTATTATTATTATTATTATTATTATTATTATTATTATTATTATTATTATTATTATTATTATTATTATTATTATTATTATTATTATTATTATTATTATTATTATTATTATTATTATTCGTTTATTGCACCAAGAGGATATAATCCCATGTACATAGAGTTTATTGGATATTTACATATATTATTTAAATAATTATTATATTAACAATTTAAAATAAAGAGCAAAGAAAATATAAAATACAAAAATATAAAATACAGATTAAAATTTGAAATTCTGTTAAATAACACGTAATCAGAAATAAGAAAAATAGTTAACTGAGAATGGCTTTGTATGCAGAATATCTTGGGTAGTGGCGGAGGTCAGTCGTAGTTCTCTCTAGCTGAGCAGTAGTTATATTTCCGGATTCGATAAGATGATACCAGGAGAAATATCGAAGCAGCATAGCAGGACTCAAATGAATGATTTCCTGAGGATCAGGCAGCTTTGAAGGTTCTCAAGGAGAGTTCTGAGGTTGGGCTTATTAATGACTCCCAGCATTTTTCCCAGAGTTTCATAATCAGAACAGCTTCTGTTATCGTTTTCCCAGTATACGCTCCTTAGGTTTGCGTAGAATGTACACTGAACCAGAAAGTGGAGAATTGTTTCCTTGCACCCGGAACCACAGAACACACAAGTCTTGACCGGTGAAAGATAAATTGTTTCATTAGCGATGGAGATGAAGCAGGAGTAGTTGGAAGCCAATCTTAGTTGAACTATTGGCTTAATCAGATGTTGAGGAATTCTGATGGACATCTCTGGCAAGATTTCAAATAGGGGAGTCGGTAGGATTACTTGACAGGCTTGAGAGCGTGCATAGCGATCTCGATCAGCGAGAGCAAGGTGTCGTCGGTACTTGCTTAGGATTATTTCTTTACGGCCAGCCCAGAGATCAGAATCTGTGCTGTCCAGTAGTTGTTCCTCACCGATGGTTTTTAGAGTGTCATAAAGATGCTGGGACCAGCAGAGCATTTTAGGTCTGATTGTTGATTTTTGATGCTTGAGTAGTTGAAGAAGGCAGATTTTAGGGAGTCGATGATCCTCGAGTTTCAAAATTTTAATAGTCCAGTTGATGGAGGCTTGTAGTAGAGTGACTGCAGAGTGCTCGATGTTTAGCTCGATTCTGATAGCGTAGCCTGGCGTGCACTTGGGAAGAGTCAGCAATTTTTTAAAGAAATCGATGTGGGCAGATTCTAGCATCTCAATATAGTCAGATCCGATGCACCACAAGTGGGCTTGATAGAGAAGCGTGCTACGTACTAGACTATTGTATAGTTTGATTTTCCCACTCCAGGAGTCGGCTTTTAGTTTGGCCAGTGTGGCCAGCGCAGTACTCGTGGCAACTTTGCTGCGGTTGATGGCATGATTAACTGTGCTCAGACCCACTACACTGGGAGTGAAAAGTACACCTAAATATGTGTATGATTTTACCACTTCAATGGTTTCGCCATTGAACTTGAATGCAGGACATTTTTTCCGACACTTCCCACTTGCACTGACTCTTAATACTTTCGTTTTAGAGGTATTAACTACCAGCTCGTTTAAGTTGCAATATTCTTCTAGTGCTTTCAGGCCTTTTTGCATGTGTCCAGCAGTGCGTACAAGCATTGCGATATCATCGGCGTACAGTAAGAAAAGCACTGATTTGGAGCTGCACAAGTTGATACCTTCTAGGCCTTGTTCGTCAAAGAACGTGACAAGATCTGACAGATATAAAACAAATAATAGAGGGCTTAATACTTCACCTTGTAGTACGCCCTGCGAGACTTCAATTTCTTTAGACAGGAGTCCATCCACTCTGACTTTCATTTGGGCTCCTTCGTACAGTGCTTTAAATATGTTTATAATCTTCGAGCTAAGGCCTTGCTTGTATAGCTTGCACCAAAGTTTGTGATGGGGCACTGAGTCAAACGCCCTCTTAAAGTCGACAAAAAGGATATAAGCCGAGGCTTTGTCCAGTCGAAGTTGTAATTGTAGTTGTTGTTGTTGTTGTTGTTGTTGTTGTTGTTGTTGTTGTTGTTGTTGTAGTTGTTGTTGTTGTTGTTGTTGAGACAGGAGCGTGAAGATATTGTCGGCGCAGCCTTTTCCTGGTTGGAAGCCGGATTGCTCTTCGGGGATGAGTTTAAGGTCTTCGGCCCATCTTTGGATTCTGCTACATATTATTTGTGTAAAGATCTTTGTGATGCCATTTACAAGTGCGATGCTGCGGTAGTTTTTCAGGAGCACTAGGATTGCCTTTCTTGAAGAGCATAGTTGTAATGATGCAGGACCAGTCAAGTGGTATGCGCTCTGTGGACAGAATTTTATTAAAGAAGGCAAGTATAAATAGAAGCCAGTTATCTGGGAGCGTCTTTAGGAATTCATTGCTTATACCATCACTACCGGCTGCTTTTTTGAGCTTGCATTTTTTAACTAGCCTGTAATTCCTTCAACGTTATTTCTGCATCAAGAGTTGGGTGCGTTTGAGTACGAGAGTCAAGATTAGCAAGAATACGTGTTGGATACACCTTCTGAAAGAAAGTTTCCCAGTCTTTGATGGATAATTTTGATGGTATGGATGAGCGCCTGCGCGTAGATGTTACAACCTTCCAAAACTCTTTGGAGTCTCGGGCATTGGCAAATTTTGATTGAATAAGCTTACTGTATTTTAATTTCTTTTCCTTTAAGAACTTGTGATACTCTTTCTTTTGATAACAGTAAGAGGCCCAAAGACCGCTGTTGTTTCCTGCGCTTTTACATTGAGTTAGAAGTAGTTTCATCGCATTTTTACGTGTTGAACAACTCCTGTCAAACCAAGGTCTGTTGTCTTTTGAGTGTGCGCTGGCCATTCTAGTAAGCAGCATATTTGCATTTCTAGCAGAGTCAAGAATGGCATTTGATAGATGTGCGTTGAAGTCATCAACTGTCGCAGCCTCGACGTCGATATGGATTAGTGATGACCAGGTGATACTCTGTGTGTAGTAGTCGGCATATTCATTTTTCCATTTCAAGCGAGCGGGTGGCAGCGATATGTTTGTAACTGTTGGGCTTATATCATTGTGCATTGGCAAGAGTGAAACAGTGACAGGGAAGTGATCAGAGTTGGTGACTGTGCTGTCCACGGTTAAGCCGGAAACCACGTGCAGGTTGGAGAGCTCTGACCACACTAGGTCAATGGTACTGTGTCCTAGGTGGCTACAGAAAGTGTAGTCTCCACGTGTATCACTCGGAGATCTGCCATTTAATAAAATGAAGCCAAGATCAGTCATAAAGTTCATAAGTATTTTACCTTGTATATTGTAGATGTTGTCTAGAGAGGATCTGGAGCCTGAGAAGAGCGTGTGCTCTTCAGCTTTATCAGAAATCTGGCCAGAGTTGCCCACCCGAGCGTTGAAGTCGCCTCCTATCAGAAAGAGATCGTACGACTGTTCTTGTTGAATATTAATCACTATCTGTTGTAACTCTAGTAGAATGTCATCTAAGATGAGGTTAGGCTTAAAGTAGATTAAAGCAATGATTAACCTGAGATTGACAAAATTTACCTTGGTTATGATCCAGAATTCTGATTTAGCAATCAGTGTTGGAGATGAGCTGCTGGACACCATTAACCCTCCACTGGGTCTTCCTTGCTTCAATGGTTTAGTGGCTGGAACAGTGAAGCATGTGTTGCTGGTGTGAGAGACGTAGGTAGACGTCATTCACTGCCCAAGTTTCCGAAATAGCGGTGAAGTGTGACTTATTGCTGACAAGAAATTCGGGAATATTTTGATTTCCATGAGCGTTCCAGAACGTGATTTTAGTTGTACAGATGGTAGGCGTAGATTGAGGCTGGCTGGGTAGTTGCTATAATGGTAGCGAATGGGCTAGAGGTTCTATTAGGTTAGAACCTGAGCCCGATTGTGCAATGTTTGAGGTTGACGCTGGTGCAGGTGTATTAGAAGTTGATGAGCCACTGTGATAGGGAACAAGAGAGTCCAAATCAGTGCTCCAAGTCATAGGAGAACCGTTGACGAACATTTTCTGAAAGCCTTGTCTTACTTTAGCACCTTTGGCCTTAATCTTTTTACCCTCATCTCTTAATTTTTTTGCAATAAAACTTTCCTCTGGAGTTAGATCCTGATTAATTAACACAGGGACTTTTAAATTCTTTTTTTCTTTTAGTATTTTGAGTTTGGTGTCTTGATCTTTCATAACTACTTTGACAGTATCTTTAGCTTTATTAGGGATCTTTACTTCTGTAAAGGCATCAGAAATTTTGAAGTTTTTGCTTAAGAACTCAAAGACCACCTCTTTCACATTTGACTCAGTACATGGTAGACAGCGTATAATAATATTATTTTTTCGTAGACGTTTTTCTAGCGCATTTAGACTTGCCGCTACCATGCGCTTCTCTAATGCTTGATTAGTTGTTTTGTTTCCATCAGCAGTTAGTGAGTGGGCTTCGAGATCAGCGACTCTTAGCTTGACTTCCTCTAGATCGTTTCTGATGGCAGCATTGTCTGCAGTAAGCTCACCTCTCAGTTTGGCAATTTCATCACTGCAAGCTTTGCTAGAAGCTGTTATTCTTCCTACTAGATCATCTTTTATTGCATTCCAGTGGGCACGGTCTACTTCTTTCCATTTTTGCATTTGTGTATATAGGTCTCGAATTGATATGGACTGCTGTGCAATAGAGTCCTAATTAGCTGTTCCCGTGCTTGCATCGACCTTGGGTATGTCCACCATCATCGAGTTTGTACACTGATTAGTCGGTGATGGAGAAGAGGACGATCGTAGTTGTTTGTTGGGTGGAGAAGATTTGTCTTCTGTGTTGTACGACGTCGAGGGTTTTTCTCTCGCTCTTTTTAGGTTACTTCCTCGTAGGTACTCCGAGATATTTCCGAGGGAGCTGGATCTTTGGTCTTTGAGAGCTTTGGGTCGTCGACCTCTGCTTGTTTTTCTGGGAGGTTGCTTATTTGGATTTTGTGGAGCTGAAATAGGGTCAGTGAAGAGTTAGATAAATTCTGACGCGTTTGGGTTTAAATTACTCGCCTTGTTTTCATCAGAAGTTAATAGTTTGGTGCTGGACTCTGGTGGATTAAAGACGAAGGCCTTAGGTACTTCGGTGACAGGTAGGATAGGTTCGCTCTCTTCTGCATCGACGCAGCTACTGGACATAATAAAGCTGAGACATGAGCTCTAACCTCAAAGACAGCGTGGCCGCGATTTCGGAATGAATATAAAGACACACCAGGCACGATTGAAGAGGATTATGATCACGATTGACTCATAAAAAATTCGGGCACACTTTGAATATACACAATAAATTATCTGATTATTTTGACAGACTTCAAAACGCGAATTTTGTAAGACAGAATAAGACACGTCTGTGCTCGGTGGCGCCACCAATCGAACTCCAACAATTTGAAATATGTATGAATATAAGTATACATTAGATTATTTACAAAGTTACTTAAAATTATATAAAATACAAAATATAGATAGATAAAAGGCTACATTAAAATATTCAGTCGAATAATTATTTGTAATATTCGGATATAAGTTTTGGTTTATAGTTATGAATATTTAAATATTGAGATTTTTTGAATTATTTGGTATACCAAAATTTAGATTTATTAATATGATTTAGATAATAGAATTTGGTTAATAAAATTTAAATATTGAGATTTAAACAAGGCCAATTATAATAAGAATACGCTTTGGAAGCCCTTGAGTTAGAATGATTGAAAATAAACTATATCGTAGATTATAAATTAAGATTTAAAATTCCATAATATTTATAATTCCATTATGAATATATTTATTTTTCGATAAAAAAAATTCCATAAGTTTCTTGAAATATGCTTTTCGTGGAGGTACTACCTTAGTCATTTTGTTTATCAAATTTAGTAATTCTATCCATATTTCTTAAAATGTATATTCTAGACCATTTTAGTAATTTTTCAGAATTTTATTGAAAACAAAATCTATTTTTGTACTACAATATTTTTAAATAGTTTAATTCATGTAATTAATATTATTTTTGAAAAAATATTAATTAAAAAGATATTATCACTCGGTTAAATAATAAATAATAAACTATTATATAAGAAACGAATATTTTAAATAAATAATTAAAATATTTTATAGTTATCAATTGTAAATTGTTGGTACTTTACAACTCCAAAATTATAGTTTATTCAGAAAATTTTTAATAATTTTGAATTAAATTCATACGATAATTAATGATTATATAAATATACAATATAGCAAAATTTTGACTATAATAAAACATTTTTGAATGTTTTTAACATTTTTCTTCAATCATTTTTTCCTTTTTTTATTCTTATGCCAAAGAAGTATAACTTCTGACGCGTGTACATAAGCACACACACCATTTTTTTTTTTTTTTTCAAAGCAACTACTACTAGTATAACGACTCCAGCAGTCTGAAGAGCAAGGAGAAAACTCTAAAACGGAAACTAATAAATTTAAGAAACGTCACCATTTAGTGCTCAAGTAGTGTGTGTGTGCGTGTGTGTGTGTGTGTTTCTTTTTCCCTTAGGGGGGGAATCCTTTTTACGGATTCTAGGCATAGCTGTTTGGCCTAGATATGTGGCGACTCGACGCAGCGTCATACTAAAGCTCAA